CAGTGAAATCGTTACTACGGTGACTCTGGGATTTCACAGTAATCTTGTAGTGGATGGAATTTGTCTAAGGGGCAATACTGCATGATAAGTGATGCTCAAATGTTCATAGATACGATGTTTAATGTATGTTACGATGTTTAATGTATGGTGTTAAATAATACAAAGGGTGATAGGAGAAGCGAATACTCGTAGGTAGAGTGAAACGGCGAGTTCTTCGAATATATATATATATATATATATATATATATATATATATATATATATATATATATATATATATATATATATATATATATATATAAATATATCCTCGGTCAAATGTAGATGTAGGTTATATTACTGTAGGAAAGCATGTACAAGCACCTCTGTTCAGTATTAGGATCAATGTCGCTTTGTTTACAAAGAAAACAAATCCCATGAGAGATGGGAAGTAATGCCCGTGAGAGTACCAGTGTTGCTTCACACCAAGTGCAAGTCAGTGAGAGGGGCAGCGCTAGGCAGGAACATGAAGTCACGGACACGCGGCGCGAAGCAGGTACTGTGAAGCTTAACGCTTAACTCTAAAGCAGATAGGTTTATAACTGGAGGCAGGGCCGCTCAGCTCAAAGCGCGGGTACGTAACGCGAAGCAGCAGCGCGTTACGCGAGGCAGCAGCGCGTTACGCGAGGCAGCGTCTCGTTACGCGAGGTAGCGTCTCGTTATGCGAGGCAGCGTCTCGTTACGCGAGGTAGCGTCTCGTTATGCGAGGCAGCGTCTCGTTACGCGAGGTAGCGTCTCGTTACGCGAGGCAGCGCTGGTTAACTAGAGAAGCAAGGAGTGTGTAGCGCAAGGCAGGGGTCCTATAATGTGTGGCATAGAGGACCGGAGGCAGGATGACAGTGCACCGAGGACCAGCTCCACCTGCAAACTATCAGACTGGAACAGCACATTAGTCGCTTGAGGTACAAAAGCGTAAAGAAAAACAAAATCCTGAGCTAAACTGCCACAATGGAACTACTACCAAAATTGTAAATAAATACGCAATTAATAATAAGCAGCTGAGAGTGGGACTACGTCACAGGTTCCTCCCGACCCACAGCACAAGCGGAGAGATGGATGATGAACGAAGAAGAATTGGAAAAAATAAATCAACGTGAATGTATGAAGACCATTAGAGGAACGCGGCACTGAGCGGAGGTTGGCGAGGCTACCTTCAAGGAAGCTGCGATTGCTGATTGCTTGATGGTTGGCCAGCAACTCACCCTGACCAAGGGCTGTGTCTAGGTAAGTGCCGCTGTGGCCGCCACCTGCAGATACACGCATTGGACAAGTTAGAGCATCAGGGGCAAGGTGGTGGTGGTGGTGGTGGTGAAGGCGGCCGCTGCTGGCGCTGGACGGGCTCACGACCCCGAGCTTGAGAGCCATACGGTGCCACAAGCCTGTTATTGTGGTGAGCCGGTGAGACCTGTTGGAGGTGGCACCCTCCCTCACGGCTCGGAGGGAAGGAGGGGACGGACGGGAGGGGAAGAAAGGAAGGATATAGAAAAGATCAGGAAAGGTACAGAAGAGTAAAAATAGCGAGCAGAGAGAGAGAGGAGAAGGATATTAAAAAAGTATGAAGGCACTACATACCATATGCAAACGAATAGACTGTTATAGAGAGAAAAACATAACAAGAGATACAGACAGACTGATAAAGAGAGATGATAGAAAAAATATGATAAGAATAGAGCTAAAAGTGTTTTTTTTAATAAAGAAATGTAATTATATATATATATATATATATATATATATATATATATATATATATATATATATATATATATATATATATATATATATATATATATGTTAATATTCATTCACCTGGGCACTAGGAGGCTCGAACACCCGACCTCCAGCATGGGCGACGTGCACTCTATCCAGTGGGCTGCGACTGTAGCAATAGCTTGCAGCCCAGTTGATGGAGCGCTCGTCTCCCATGCTGAAAGTCGGGTGTTCGAGCCTCCTAGTGCCCAGGTGAAAGAAATGTTATCCACGGTATTATGGTTGACAATATATATATATGTGCTTGACAATATGTATGTATATATAAAGTATCCACAAGTGAGTACACAAAAACAAGGGGTGAGGATATATATATATATATATATATATATATATATATATATATATATATATATATATATATATATATATATATATATATAAACACTTCGACATAGATTAAGAATCATAAATAGTTGGCTACAGGATGTGGTTTGGCATGACATGAAGTTTTCAAATTGATTACACAATTCACTGCTTTTAATGCAAGAAGACTCAGTTATGTCTTAATTGCAGATTTACATTAATAATTTTCAAATAATTTTATCTTGTTATATGATGGTTTAAATCTCTCAAATAAACCAACACTGTGTTCGAATCCTGACTTTTCGGTACGCTGCATTTATGTTCTTTTGTTCTCTTGCCGAGTTGTTCGAGGTTCTCCAAAACAGTATTTACGTGGGATTTACAAGGGGGTTTACAAGGGATTTACAAGAGGTTTACAAGGGAATTATGAGGGAGTTTGTAAGCACAATCCAACCCGTTCTCGCAAACTTAATAAGTCAATATTGACTTATTAAATATGTGCATAGGTGACATACTTAACATAATAGATACCCTTAAAAAAGATTCATAGAAAACACCGAGCTTACCTAACCTTGTTAGTATCTTAAGATAAGCATCTTATTGTTTCGTAATTACAATTATTACCTAACCTATAATTGGTATAGGTTAAGTAATAATTGTAATTACGAAGCAATAAGATGCTTATCTTAAGATACTAACAAGGTTAGGTAAGGTCGGTGTTTTCTATGAATCTTTTTAAGGGTATCTATTATGTTTAGTATATCTCCTATGCACGTAGTTAATAAGTCAATATTGACTTATTAAATTTGCGAGAACGGGTTGCACAATCAGTATAGTCATTAGGAGTATGTTTAATAAGATTTTGTTTATATCTAGATTCCTAAATGACCCATTCACATTAAATAAATTAAGATTAGGAATTTTGCTAAAGTCTCATCTCGTCCTCTTTAATAATTACGTTGCTTTTGGCTCGTATGCGCACTAAGGCCAAAAATGGTCGTAATAGAAAATGAAATCGGCTCACGAAAGTGACATACTGTCCCGTTTTCTGTTTCGGGTCCTCTGGCTTACACTGTTAGGTTAGGAGAGGACAATTTAAATTAACATTTTTCATGATGTTTTGTAACCTTAGGAGAAATTCCTGCCCTCCGAACTTACCACAGGACCCAAAATTTGCTGCTTTGGGTCCATTTCATTTGGAAAATTAGTTTAAATTTTTTTTTTAAATTCTAATACGGCGATTTTTGGCCGTAGTTCACACGAGGGAAAAGCGACGTAATTTGTAAGAGGACGGGCTGAAAGTATAGCCTTCAGCGTCACCCCCATCTACATCCTACATCAACTCAGACATCTAGTTCCTATCAACTCAGACATCTACTTCCTATCAACTCAGCCATCTACTTCCTAGTCAACTCAGCCATCTACTTCCTAGTCAACTCAGCCATCTACTTCCTAGTCAACTCGGCCATCTACTTCCTACTCAACTCAGCCATCTACTTCCTAGTCAACTCAGCCATCTACTTCCTTCTCAACTCAGCCATCTACTTCCTAGTCAACTCAGCCATCTACTTCCTAGTCAACTCAGCCATCTACTTCCTTCTCAACTCAGCCATCTACTTCCTAGTCAACTCAGCCACCTACTTCCTAGTCAACTCAGCCATCTACTTCCTTCTCAACTCAGCCATCTACTTCCTAGTCAACTCAGCCATCTACTTCCTTCTCAACTCAGCCATCTACTTCCTAGTCAACTCAGCCATCTACTTCCTTCTCAACTCAGCCATCTACTTCCTAGTCAACTCAGCCACCTACTTCCTAGTCAACTCAGCCATCTACTTCCTAGTCAACTCAGCCATCTACTTCCTACTCAACTCAGCCATCTACTTCCTAGTCAACTCAGCCATCTACTTCCTTCTCAACTCAGCCATCTACTTCCTAGTCAACTCAGCCATCTACTTCCTACTCAACTCAGCCATCTACTTCCTAGTCAGCTCAGCCATCTACTTCCTAGTCAACTCAGCCATCTATTTCCTAGTCAACTCAGCCATCTACTTCCTAGTCAACTCAGCCATCTACTTCCTTCTCAACTCAGCCATCTACTTCCTAGTCAACTCAGCCACCTACTTCCTAGTCAGCTCAGCCATCTACTTCCTTCTCAACTCAGGCATCTACTTCCTAGTCAACTCAGCCATCTACATCAACTCAGCCATCTACTTCCTACTCAACTCAGCCATCTACATCAACACAGCCATCTACATCCGACATCGACACAAACGTCTGCAGCCTACGTCAATACAGCCATCTACATCCAAAATCAACTCGTGCATCTACATCCAAAATCAACCCAGCCATCTTTATCCTAAATCTACAAAAGTCAGCTTCATCCTATTTTAACACATCTACCTACATCCACAATCGGCACAGCCATCTACGTCCTAGTTGACTAGGAAGTTGTTTTACGTTCTAGAAAACAACTGGAGCCTCTTAAGACATCTACGCCGACCACCAGATGACTCAAAGATTACAGAAGGAATTATATTTTCTAAGAAATACAGATGTCGTAGTGGACATATCAAAGTCGGAACTGCAAGGTGACTCTCGAGGCCTTGAAATGCAACCCTCGTCTAACTCCAAGGACAAACTATTGCCTCCCTGGGCCTCTATGAAGTAAAGAGAGCAACCTCAGTTGAAGAAAGTTGCCTAACCACCTTTACCTACTTCGCCTACCTCTCAAGATCTCGAGCATTACCTCCGTTGATCTTACGGTCTTCCGCCCTCCCTTCCCTTTCGAAGCTCAGGGGGGAAGAAGGCCATCGTTACCTGACCTACCTGTAACCTGCAGCAACGTACCCGTCACCTACTTGTGACCTGTAGGAAGAGGCCGTACCTACCTCCGAAGTTGTTTGCGGAGGACCTGATGGAGGGGTGCTGGGTGGCGAGGCTGCTGGAGGGGCGGCGCTCGTCATCTTCGCCCTCCTCCTCGATGTCTGGCAGGATGAGGTTCTGTTTATCTTCGGGGATTCTGCCAGAACGAGAGACAGCAGCGGGGTGAGGGGCGCCACCAGGGGAGAGAGAGAGAGAGAGAGAGAGAGAGAGAGAGAGAGAGAGAGAGAGAGAGAGAGAGAGAGAGAGAGGAAGAGGGGGAGGGGGGGAGGTAGAGGAATAAGACGGGGAAACAGAAAGAGGGGACAAACAGGAAGACAGGAACAGAAACAGAGGCAGACAGATAGGCCTGCAGACACACAGACAAGCTACAAGAAACAACAGGTGAACAGAAATATCAAAACAGGGAATATTGCAACAAAGAAATAACATGGAAAAGAAAATTCGAGTTAAAAATAATTTTATATTGCGTGTTTACGAATGGAGAGAAGAGGTACGAATAGCGAATAAGGGAAGAGGACGCTAAGAATAAGGAACAGCATGAAACAGGTTAGGTTCCCAGAGCCAAAAATTCTGGAAGAAGTATTAAAGACCCATAATGAAGATAGAGACAAGATAATAGAGAAGAGTGTAGAGCAAATGAGGAGAACGTTTAACGGAAGAGGAAGTAAGAGATAATGGCGGGGAATAATAGATGATAGCGAGAGAAGGTGAAGGAGACGAAACAGGAAAGGGCAAGCGAACGAGGAACATGAAAAGGTGACAGTATCGCGGTGGGTAAACAGAACAAGGAAATGAGACTAAAAACACGGGAATAACACAATCGCGCGTGAGAGTGAACACCACTACCAAGATAATGATGATGATGGTGATGATGACAGCGATAGAGATAAAGATAAGAAACAAGAGAGACGATGAGACGCCGAGCATAAAATCATCAAGAAAGACGGAAAAGCCAAAAGCAAGAACAATGGACGTTCTACCTTTCCCCCCTCTTAAAAAAAGTAAATAAAATCGAATGAATGGGGAGTAAAGAACAATGGGTGGACAGGCACGTGTTCTTGATGAACAAGGAGGGTGGTGAAGATCGGACAGGAGCAGAGAGAGGGGGGAGCTCACTGGTCAGATGTTATTCCTACAGTCATCGTGGGGGGAGTCATACTTGCATCCATCTACTGTGTTTGTTCTTGGGGAAGTTTTTTAGAAGCCAGAGGAACACCTGGCGGCTCCCCTACTCTCGAGTTTATACGTTAATTCAAGTTATTTACATTTAAACCCGCATGGACATCAATGGTATAAACATTATATACGAACTAAACATCTTCACTAAGGTAAACAAATGTCACGGGAGATTTCCTTTATTAAGGGATCTCCAGTTTTTCCGATCTGAAGACATTTTTTCCCCCCTTGGAAACTTTGGTAGAGGAGTTTAATCTTGCAAGAAAGTCTCCTGCAGACAAGATTAATCACCTTCCCCATAATATATTTATATAATTCATGGAACAAAATTCACTCCACTCAGGAGTCAAGCAACACCGAGAGTAAGGAACCGCCTTATTTTTGTAAGCATCAACGAGAGAAAAAGCTTAGAAACACTGGTAATAATCTACTAGTCTAAGAGGCTCTCACACCCAGCACTCGGAGGCGTCCAAACTTACACCATGTTGGCCACCGATCCTCGGTACGTCCGCTTCTTGAACTCGGCCGACGCCTCGGTGTAGGGCAAGACGGGGCTCTCGTCGTCGTAGTAGATGTCCTTACAGAGGGGCGGCGTCCTCAGGAGGAGGGTGTCCACAATGAGATAAGACACCTGAAGGAGGTATAGGGAGAAAGGTGTTTAAGGGGAGGATTTTTTGCTCTGTTGAAGCATGTCAGGGAAGGGAAGTATATATATATAGATTTCTATTAACTTTTTGTTTCAGATACGGGAGGGATCGAGAGCGGTTTTATCTCTCTTAGTGTTTTAATAGCTTCGTTTTCTTCTACTAGCTACATATTTTGACTGACATGACTCCTGGGTCATGTCCTCTTAAAAGCATAGGAGGTGGGTTGGCGATATATATATATATATATATATATATATATATATATATATATATATATATATATATATATATATATATATATATATATATATATATATATACGAGAACAACAGTGTTAATCATCTTAATATCCGGATTATCCCTAACCCAACACGCAAGCTCATTTGTCTTACTCATCCATACAAAAGTATTTCCTATTGTGTGTGTGTGAAATTTTGTCTACCTTAGCCTCTATTATGTATCTACTTCCACCTCTATACTACTACTACTACTTCACTTCATTTTCACTGCTTCTACGATGCCTCTACACTACTACACTGCCTCTACTTCGCGTCTACCCTGCCTCTACCCTAAAGCGTCTACCCTGCCTCTACCCTAAATCACCACTTTATATAGCATACATAAGCCATCTTTTCTACCCGCCCATCCTTTACAAGACCTTACTGATCCCCCCATTACCAGAGATTGCCTTACCCACCCACCCCCACACTACCAGGGACTGCCTTACCCACCCACCCCCACACTACCAGGGACTGCCTTACCCACCCACCCCCACACTACCAGGGACTGCCTTACCCACCCACCCCCACACTACCAGGGACTGCCTTACCCACCCACCCCCACACTACCAGGGACTGCCTTACCCATCTCCCTCCTCCCCATTACCTTCATATGTCTATCAATAATCCAATTGAGTTCGAAATCCTCATCGTCGTCACCGAACGGGTTAATCAGTTGCTCAGCGACCTGTAGGCAAGGATAGAAGTAATTAGAACAGTTGTCAGGGTGTTCGGTTTAGGGAAAGACCTTGTTTTAGTGCCTAGATGAAAAATAAATTAAATTTATTTCACATTGTAGTTATAAGACCAATTATATATATATATATATATATATATATATATATATATATATATATATATATATATATATATATATATATATATATATATATGACAATGTCAGACCACGGAGGAAAAATGAAACAGGAAATTTCCTTAAGTACTTTCGTATATTAAATACATCTTCAGAAGGTTACCTTCTGAAGATGTATTTAATATACGAAAGTACTTAAGGAAATTTCCTGTTTCATTTTTCCTCCGTGGTCTGACATTGTCACATTCTTAATCACGTGTTTATTTTCGTGATATACACACATATATATATATATATATATATATATATATATATATATATATATATATATATATATATATATATATATATATAATATATATACCGTAGTGTCGCGGGTTGTCCTATTACAGCACATTTTTAAAGACATGAAGACATCAACTCATCCGTTAAAAATGATGTATTCGTAAATATTAAAGCACCGTCATATAGACGTTTTCTATATGCATCTATCTTGATAGGTTAGGTGGGTTGCTAGGGTTCGTTCGTTTCTAGTCAGGGAAAATAGTTGCATTTTTTTTTGTTGACAGTGGCAGATCGAGAGAACGACCAGGGGCCAGATTAACTTGCGAAGCAGTTACGCAAGCACTTACGAACCTGTACATCTTTTCTCAATCTTTGGCGGCTTTGTTTACAATTATTAAACAGTTAATGAGCAACGAAGCACCAGGAGGCTGTTTATAACAATAACAACGGTTGATTGGCAAGTTTTCATGGGCTTAAACTGTTTAATAAAATTAAACTGTTTAATAAATGTAACCAAAGGCGGCAAAGATTGAGGAAAGATGAACACATCCACAAGGGCCGTGACGAGGATTCGAACCTGCGTCCGGGAGCATCCCAGACGCTGCCTTGATCGCCTCAGCTACGTCTGGGATGCTCATAGGTTGGAATCCTCGTCACAGCACTTGTGGATTTGTTCATTTGATGCATCACGCTATTGTGATTTGTATGTGTAAATGAGGAAAGATGTACACTTTCGTAAGTACTTGCGTAACTGCTTCGTGAATCTGGCCCCTGGCTTTAGGCTATCTTGAGATGATTTCGTTTTTTTTTTTTTTTTTTTTTTTTAGTGTCCCCGCGGCCCGGTCCTCGACCAGGCCTCCACCCCCCAGGAAGCAGCCCGTGACAGCTGACTAACACCTAGGTACCTATTTTACTGGTAGGTAACAGGGGCATAGAGTGAAAGAAACTCTGCCCAATGTTTCTCGCCGGCGCCTGGGATCGAACCCAGGACCACAGGATCACAAGTCCAGCGTGCTGTCCGCTCAGCCACCTGCTACTGTCATTGCTTTATCCGGATAACAAAAATTGTTTCGTTAATGCGACAAGTAAATATGTAATTAAAGTACTTAATGCACTTCAATTTTCACGCTTTTGACCACGACGTCAAAATTCCTGTTTTCGTATATTTCGTGAAATAAATTTCGTTTATTTCTAAATTACGTGTCTAAATTTGCGGTGCCTAAATTTCGTTAAATTTAGGCACCGCAAAACTGACCTGTCTCGAACTAATGCCTAGGCGGCTTGAAAGGTTAGGTTATCTTGAGGTTATCTTGAGATGATTTCGGGACTTAGCGTACCCGCGGCCCGGTCCTCGACCAGGCCTCTCTTTTTTGTTACACCACACCCCCATCGAGCAGCCCGTAGCAGCTGTCTAACTCCCAGGTACCTATTTACTGCTAGGTAACAGGGGCATCAGGGTTAAAGGAACATTTTTGCCTATTTGTCTCCGCCTCCACCAGGGATCGAACCCGGAACCTCAGGACTACGAATCCGAAACGCTGTCCACTCAGCTGCCAGGCGCCCTGATGCCTATAGGTTTTACTGCTACTGGCAACGACAGAACCTTTTGACGTCTGTCACATGGTGAAGAAGGTGGTGTTGGACGCACCTTGAGGAGACCCATGTAGAAGAAGAACTGAAGGATGGTGAAGAAGGGGATGTAGAGGTCAAGCTTGGCCTTGTACGGGTAAGGGGACTTCTCCACGAACTGCCGCCCAACGATAGCCGCCAAGAAGAAGGCGTAGGTGGCTATCGTCACTACCTGTAACGTGGGAGGAGTTGTGGTTATCGAGGCTCAAGAGCTCGGTCTCCTCTAGATCTCAAGCTTGGTGAGTCTCTCTCTCTGTCTCTCTCTCTCTCTCTCTCTCTGTCTCTCTCTCTCTCTCTGTCTGTCTCTCTCTCTCTCTCTCTCTCTCTCTCTCTCTCTCTCTCTCTCTCTCTCTCTCTCTCTCTCTCTCTCTCTCTCTCTCTCTCTCTCTCTCTCTCTCTCTCTGTCTCTCTCTGTCTGTCTCTCTCTCTCTCTCTCTCTCTCTCTCTCTCTCTCTCTCTCTCTCTCTCTCTCTCTCTCTCTCTCTCTCTCTCTCTCTCTCTCTCTCTCTCTCTCTCTCTCTCTCTCTCTCTCTCTCTCTCTCTCTCTCATACAAGAATAACAACATTAAGGGATTGATGACAACAAAGGAAAATTACATTATCATATATTTTCACGCTATTAACTATGGGTTAATTTCCTCGTGATTTACACACACATATAATTAATAATTTGCTTTGTCGGGGACAGGAAGCCTTGTAACTCGGTCCCCCCCCACCACGGTCCAACTACTGACCCCAGGATGTAACCCCTCCCCCTCCCCTACAACAGTTGCTTAACTCCCGGGGTACCTAATTGCAACTAGGTGATCAGATGCATGAAGTGAAAGCTGCCTCGTATGGGCCAATAGGCTTTCTGCAGTTACCTTTGTTCTTATGTTCTTATGTTCTTAAAGGGAACGTGCCTAGTCATTTCTGTCCCGCCCGGGGATCGAACCCGGGTACCCCGATTGTGAGTCGAGAACTAAACCAACTGTCTGTACAGAGTAGTAATTAATGCCAGGTTTTGCTCATTAAAAACAATGTTTAATTTAAAAAACGGAATTCAATTTTGTTTGAATTCACATTATTATCCAGTTGAAGTATAGGTTAAATGGTCCGAAACGTAGCGCTCAAAACTAGAATTCATTAATAAAAATAATTATATTTCTAGTAAAAAAATAGTAATAACTGATACTACTACTACTAATAATAATAATAATAATTGGACTAGCAGTAATATAAATAATCCCCAGAAAATAGTGTGGGTTGGGGGGCCACTGGTCAGGGGACATACACAGGGACCCTATAGCACGAAACAACTGACGAGGCAACATTACCACGCTCAACATTCGTACACAAGTTCAAACACAGTTTAAAGCACTATTACAAAGATTCAAACAAAGATTCAATTTCATTCATTTCGTATGGATCGTTCAGCTGACTCCCACTCAAGCTGTGAGAAAAAAAACGTGGCTGCATATTTCAACTGTTGAATATGAATTAAGAGAGAACAAACGATTGCAACATGCAAGAGACTAAGAGACTTGCTTAACTAAGTTTAATTGCTGCTTTATGGGGCTAAACCTTTGATATAAACCTTGAAAATAAACAGTAACTTATTCTTATATCCTTCATGACCTTTTATTCACACTGATATAATTTTAACATAAAAATATCTTAAAAATACAGACAAGGAATATTACATATATATATATCTCTATATATATATATATATATATATATATATATATATATATATATATATATATATATATATATATATATATATATATATGTTTATTTTGAATGCCGACCAGACCGTCCTCCTGCTCACACCCTGTGAGATAAGGTGCAACAAGACGCCAGCTGAGCCAATATTACGTTAACAGCCATCAAGAGGGGGAACTAAGCCAAGAAGAAAGCCGGCGCTTTAGTTTGGTTATTTGCAGCTAAGCCGGCCGGTTATGGTCGTTAGAGGCGGCCAGTTGGGCGTCTGGTGGCTTGGGCAGGTGGTCGAGGGCCAGTGAGAGAAGGGAGGTCTGGTAGGGGGTCACGCACACTGTGGTCACCTTGGTTTATAGCTTTACCCTGCTTGACCTGGAGCTTCTCATTTGGTAACTGATGGCTGTCCAGACTGGAGAACCATTGTATGCAATCAGTAGTGACAACTTCTTTTTTTTCCGGTCAGTGATAGGTTGCGTCTAGAGCAAACAGATCCCAAAGAGCCCAATGGTGCCTGGAGTTACAGAGCCGGGCTAAAGGGTGGAACAGCCGTGATTCCAGGCTACAGAATGGAAGGGCCCTGGTTCTTGGAGGTGATGGAACATCTCTGTAGGGTCTGGTCACACCCAACACCCGGTACTGTAACACTAGGTCATTCTACCTTTTGGGATTAAGCCTCTTAAGCTGACGGGTACAGATGCTGGCACTACGAGATCCAAGAGTCTTAAGGTTCGCTAATGTTAAAGTTGAAACTGGAATATCAAATATCTCATTCTTTGGCTCTGGTACTTGGTGGAGATGATTCCATCTGATTTTTGATGCAAGGACCGAGATCTGGAATTACAAGAACCATCAACGTTTGTCTAGAACACTGCCAAAGCTCTTAGGGTCATGTAGGGGCCAGCACCCGCACCAGGAGGACCTAGCACTTTATTCCAGATCGAATACCTGATGAGTACAGGACTGAAACATTTCGGATCAGGGGAGTTGTCTCCAGGGTACTACAGGATAACCTCAATAGGCACACCGAGGCACTGGGAGTGTCTACTGAGACAAGAAGCCCACGAGAAGCTCTGTAAGGGGTAAACAACACTGTGAGTGGATCATGGGTGGCGGTTATGAAGGGGGAGGGGGTTCATTTGGGGGGCGGGGGAGGGGGGCCACATGGCTAGTAACGGCGGGGGAGGGGGAGGGCACATAGCTAGTAACGGTAAAAGGAGCAGGGGGAAATGGGGAAGGGGCAGCTGTAGTTTTAAAAGGGTTAACCAGAGGGTCTTAAATGAGGGCCTGGAGCGATTAAGGAGCGAGCCTACAGTACCTGTGTATATACCAGCGGGGGGCTCACCCAATCGTAACACCAGAGCAAGCCACATTTGGCTCGAAATTCGAGAAACTCCTGTAATAAAAGGGGAAAGTCGGTAGGGCAGGTATGCGGCATGGCCCATGGAAGATTGGAATGGTGTTTGGTGATTACCCTACCTGAGTGTACACTAGAGGGATTGACACCCAGTCATAGCTCCAGAGCATTCCGCATTTTTGTCTGAACTCATTGAACTCCTGGAAAGAGAGGACATCTAAAGTTGTGGGGGACTGCTGGCTGGGCTTGTGTTAGCGGTTAGCGGGGGGATAAAGTTGACATATGTGAGTGCATCCTCGGGGCGGGGGGTCAGGTGGGGGGTCGTGACCCCCTATCTCCCGGCCCCGGGAGGGGTTTGGGACGGGGGTGGGGGGTTGCAGGCGGGGCGCACAGACCCTCCCTGCCGTCCAGCATGCCAACGTTTAGAAGGTTTATGGAGTTTTATAATGGTTCTTGGACAGCTTTATGGAAGCGGGGCTGTAAGCTCCTTGCCAACCGTACACAATAGGGAGTCTTGAGCCTGTGTCTATCTTTGTCTCATTGTCACTTGTGCACGACTCTTGAAAGGTATTAAACATTCTGTGATAGTCATTTGTTTAGTATCAAAAGAAAGCCCTTAACCAGTATGGATACAGTCACTAGTACAAGGCTGTTATTATATTAAGAACTATATGACACAAAACTGGATAATCTAAGTTACAATTACGTGAGGATATTGTATTCTCATTTTAGTTTCATCACAAATAGTCCAGATGGTGTGTCAATATCTGCTCGCGAGTACATTGATTGATTGATGAAGATTAAGTCACCCAAAAGGTGGCACGGGTATGAATAGCCCGTAAGCGGTGGCCCTTTTGAGCCATTACCAGTGTCAATAGATGATACTGGAGATCTGTGGAGGTGTGACTGCACCCTACGACGGGAGACGTCTCCCGTGTGAGTACATTATAGAAGGGGGAAACGACGATTATTTTAGTCTCCCCTCGAGGGGCCATATTCCTCAACAGGTTACTATTGCCAAAGAGATTTAGTGTATAAGAGAACAAATGTAATTCGGCGCGGATTATCGAGTATCACTGGCTAACATAATAGTTTTTTTTAAATAAAAATATACAAATATCTCCCCTCCTCCCCCCTCAAATTAGTTTATTTCTTGAATTGGTTTTCACCATTTTATTACATTGTACAAATAACGTATCTTGGATACATTCCAGTGCTTTGATAGGTGTTTTGGTTACTATGGACGAGGTATTTATTTATTTATTTAATTATTTATATACAAGAAGGTACATTGGGTTTGTGAGAATACATAGCATAGTATTTACAATCTTGTAAAACCGCTAGTACGCGCAGCGTTTCGGGCTGGTCCTTAATCTAACAGATAATATTAAGTAGGTAAATTCTAGCAGAAGTAATAAAATGATAACAAATACATTGCAAGAAAAACCAAATTGTATTGTATTGTATAATTGTATTGAAGGAGTATCTGAGCCCATCCTCCTGTTTTGGTAGTACTTATAGTAACGATGAGCACCTGAGGACATCTGCCGACGAACAACGCAATTAGAAAGTAGAAACCTGGACTATGAAATTTGGACAAACCGGAAAAGGTTTTGTATTTATGTTCCAAAGACAAATTAAACTAACCTAACCTTCCTAGACCTAATACACGCGACTTGAGGCCTAATATAGTACATATGTTGACCAGACCACATACTAGAAGTTGAAGGGACGACGACGTTTCGGTCCGTCCTGGACCATTCTCAAGTCGATTGAGAATGGTCCAGGACGGACCGAAACGTCGTCGTCCCTTCAACTTCTAGTGTGTGGTCTGGTCAACATACTTCAGCCATGTTATTGTGACTCATCGCCTGCATAGTACATATGTGTGCTAGATACCCCTTTTTTGGGAAAGGCTTCTGGAGTCAACCTCGAGGAAAAATCCGGAGTTGGAGCCCCTAAGGCAGTTCGTTGTTGACGTCGACCTCGTTCTGGCAGCTCCTGCGACGGTGCTGGAACCATGTGTACTGGCATTTGCCTTTCTATTGGATAATTTCAGCAACGTGGAGAGGGGGACCTGCTGCATGGGTAACAGCTTCTCTTCCATATCTACCTACCCAGGCTTTGTGCTCTGTCAGGGCGCAACTCCATAGTCTTCAGACTCTGAAGGAGGCCTACTACTATGTGTGCTAGACTAGGCCTAGGAATATTTAAGTTTGGTTTTAGCTTCATTTTTTCGGACTTAAAAGTGAACAGTACCAAATTCGACTATCTAATTGCTTAGTACGTCAATGTTTGTACTATGGTGCACATAGTTATTGTATATAGTAGGCATCCATCAGTCTCAGGAGACTATGAAGATGCGCTCTGGTTGTCGGTTTGGAGAGGCCTCTCCAGGGCGCAAAGCCAGGGTAGGTTGATACGGGGGAGAAGCTGTTACCCATGCAGCAAGTCCCCCCCCCCCTCTCCACGGCGCCGAAAGTCTCCAATGGAAAGGCAAACGCCAATACATTTAGTTCCAGCGCCATCATAGGAATTATGAGCTCCGCAGTTGACCTCCAAGTTGGTGAAAGAAGGCACAGGGACTCCAAACCCGGAGACCGCCGTGGTCGGGGCAGGTTTGTCGTGGATTCGAACCTGCGTCCGGGAGCATCCCAGACACTGCTCACGGCCCTTGTGGATTTGTTCATTTGATGCATCACGTTAGTGTGATCTCTGTGTGTGATGATGTAAGGGTGAAGAGGGAGAACGGCCTATTGACATAGCTCGGGTGCAGGGGGGGGGTTGTGTAAAACCCTGGTTTGTGCCTCGGAGAGGCTACGGGATCCAGTAAGTTCAGTAGAACTTCGGTTTCAACCCTTTTAACCCTGTCGTAGCTCAGTCGATTAAGGCAGTGTCTGGGATGCTCTTGGACGCAGGTTCGAATCCTCGTCACGGCCCTTGTGGATTTGCTCTCTCATCATCGTTACTCTCATTGCAGCTACGTATATATTTCTCAGGCGCATGTGCTACGTTTGGTGAGTGTTGTGCAGTCTGTACGACTCCTCTTTGACACCCACCAGGTGAGATTATTATGAGAAAGCACTAAGCCAGTATAATAATAATAATTTATAATAATAATTTTTATTTAGGTAAAGGTACATACATAAAGAGATTTTACAAAGTTTGTTGGCTTTATAGATAGAGCTAGTACATACAATGCCTAAAGCCACTATTACGCAAAGCGTTTCGGGCAGCGATATAGTATGACTATATCGGGAGGATTATGAAGAGAAGGTTTTGGAGTAGAATGGAGGGAGGGAGGGGGGAGTTATCACGGGAAAGCGCCAAGTCATTACGACTATATAGCACTGGGAGGGGTCAGGATAAGATTTTGGGATGGGGCGGAGGGAAGGAATGGTGCCCAACCACTTGGACGGTCGGGGATTGAACGCCGACCTGCATGAAGCGAGACCGTCGCTCTACCGTTAAGCCCAAGTGGTTGGAGTAGAATGGAAGAGAAAGAACGGCACCCAACTACTTGATCTATCAGGGATCGAACACTGGCCTGCAAGAAGCGAGGCCGACCCTGTAGCCACGAGTGCCAGTGGTCGGGCAGTACTGGTGAGGGTGGAGGTACGGGTTACACAGTAACAAGTGACTGTATTTTGCTGTAACATTAAACAGTTTGAGTCAGAAAGCTGATGAAGCTTTCTGTAGATATACCCCTTCTATATATCTACAAAAGATATAACTTTAGATATATCTAAGATATATATTAGGAGGTATATCTTAGATATCCCCTTCTCGCATACAAGCTGCTAGAGACATTCCTCTGTATTACTTTCCTAGTAAAGTGTTAGCTTGAGATATTTCTCATGTATCAACGTGTAGTTGGGTCAGGAGGCCTGGTCGACGACCGGGCCGCGGGGACGCTAAGCCCCGGAAGCACCTCAAGGTAACCTCAAGGTCAAGGTAGTTACTGAAGCAAGTTACTGCAGTCCATGTTACCTTCAGAGACGAAGTACTTACACAATCTGCATATTATTATTATTCTGTATTGCGTATGAAAGGTGTTGCTAGTGTTTAGGAGCGTGATCTTCCCACACCTGCTGAGGTGTCACCAGGAGCCAGCAGTGTTGTGTGTAGGAGCCACACACCCGCCAGCACCCAGGGTTGTGTGTAGGAGCCACACACCTGCCAGCACCCAGTGTTGTGTGTAGGAGCCACACACCTGCCAACACCCAGTGTTGTGTGTAGGAGCCACACACCTGCCAACACCCAGTGTTGTGTGTAGGAGCCACACACCTGCCAGCACCCAGGGTTGTGTGTAGGAGCCACACACCCGCCAGCACCCAGTGTTGTGTGTAGGAGCCACACACCTGCCAGCACCCAGGGTTGTGTGTAGGAGCCACACACCTGCCAGCACCCAGTGTTGTGTGTAGGAGCAACACACCTGCCAACACCCAGTGTTGTGTGTAGGAGCCACACACCTGCCAGCACCCAGTGTTGTGTGTAGGAGCCACACACCTGCCAGCACCCAGTGTTGTGTGTAGGAGCCACACACCTGCCAGCACCCAGGGTTGTGTGTAGGAGCCACACACCCGCCAGCACCCAGGGTTGTGTGTAGGAGCCACACACCCGCCAGCACCCAGGGTTGTGTGTAGGAGCCACACACCCGCCAGCACCCAGGGTTGTGTGTAGGAGCCACACACCCGCCAACACCCAGTGTTGTGTGTAGGAGCCACACACCCGCCAGCACCCAGGGTTGTGTGTAGGAGCCACACACCCGCCAGCACCCAGGGTTGTGTGTAGGAGCCACACACCCGCCAGCACCCAGGGTTGTGTGTAGGAGCCACACACCCGCCAGCACCCAGGGTTGTGTGTAGGAGCCACACACCCGCCAGCACCCAGGGTTGTGTGTAGGAGCCACACACCTGCCAACACCCAGTGTTGTGTGTAGGAGCCACACACCCGCCAGCACCCAGTGTTGTGTGTAGGAGCCACACACCTGCCAACACCCAGGGTTGTGTGTAGGAGCCACACACTTGCCAACACCC